TTCATTTTATTTTAACAACATATGTACTAAAAGGTATTTTGACAAAAAATATATATCAGCTGTAGCAGCATCATATGAATTCTGACATTTTACACATAGTCCACCAGGATCTGCCAACACAAAGGTCAGAGATTTCACATGAGATTTGGACCATCTTCTGGGGGAAAAGCAGATTACTTGCTGCTCGCGAGCGCCCCCTCTGGTGGGGAAACTTTTTTTCTGGGATACAAACTTTTTCAGAACACCAGTAGATGGCAGCCATTACAGACAAACATGTGTTTGTTGTTGTTCGAGGAGCGGCCCGGTCACACGCTAATGTCATTAGTTCGTTGTCATTACTAAAGCTACAGGAATACTTCCTTCCCCCTTTTTTTCACATCGTGTCGCCTGCCTGGATCTGTTACTTTCTCGCTCTGAAGCACAGAGGAGTGTCAGGTAAGCTCATTTCAACTGCTTTTTACAACACTTTCTCATTTCCGGACTCAGGCATTTTGTGAGAAGCCGATATTTCAGTTAAAATACATAAGTAAAAATATTTATCTGAGTATAGTACTACCCCCAACTTCATGGATGATTTTTTTGGATTAAATTTTATGTATTATACTTGAATAAATACGGTCGTAAAACAAACAAAACACAGGTATTTCCTCAATGTGTTCAAGTTCGACAACTTATTGTTGAAGCAAAAATAATTGTGGCAATGCCGTCAAATCATTGATTGCCAAAATTCTTTTTTCACTCGCCTAGGAAGACACTTTAGGAAACTGTGCTCGCTCTTGAAATGTTCTTTTTTAAGTTGTGTGGAAGTTGGAAAGCACTGTTTTGTGGGGGGTATTTAATCTTCCTTTCTCCTGAGGAGGGTCTTTAATGTAGGTTTAATTAGCTTTTCTAGCAGCCAACACAGTGTAAAACTGGCCACAGGCCAAACTTTTAATCTTAGTCAACTCTAAAGAGATTATTACCTCTTTTCACACTACACTTAACCTAAACACAATTGCATTATTAAACTGTTAACTCTCACATAAATGTGCTCTCTAAGCTATACATTAGCAAATGGCCAACAGTTGTGAAGGTACAAACTTTAATATGAACTAAAAAATAGTCTTTGAAATTTATTGGATATAAATATAYTGTTTAACAGGAAGTGTGTTATGAGCGCTTGAGCTTTTTGTGTGCTTGTGTTTGTTTGTGTGGCTGCATTTAGTGCCATGAAACCTTTGCAGGAATACAAACCTGACAATAATCTGGGCTCTGGAATTGTAAAAAAAAATAACTACTTCAATGAGCAGCTTGGATTTACAGTGGAGAAGTAGCTCATCCTGCCAAAATTTTACACTTTTCACGTCTTTATGTTCATCCAACCTCAGCTCTCTTTAATAGTTGTTCCTAACCTTAACATTTTATGAATGTTTTACTGTTCAACCAAGAAAACGTTTGTTTCATTTGGTATTGAATTCATCATCAGGATCATAAAACAAGCTGTCATCATTAAAATAAACAAGAAACTTTGTTTAAAATTCCCTGAAATAAGCAACAGTTGTTAACTTTAGACTGGAAAAGCATAAACAGAACACAGGGATGGATCCACAGTGACGCCTGCGACTCAAAGAGCTGCATCAGAACAATAATGACAGGTGTAAAGCAAGTCACTCAACTTTATTGTGTGTTTAGTATAAGTCAAAACAAGACTGATTAAAAATTTTTTTTATAAAATATATAACATTGTTTTTATATTTTGATCTGTAAAGGGCCTGGTTGGGTCAGAGCTCACCCTTCAAAGGATTTAACTTCTTTCTCATCAAATGGATTTTTTTGTTTGTTTGTTTATCCAATATTCATCATATTTAAAATGGAAAAACTGTTTTTATGTGACGCTACTTTTACAATGCAATAATAGGTTAAATGTTTATTTGATTCTGTATTTTTTTGTTTGTGCCTGTTGGTAAATTCACATAGTCAAAATTACCATTTTCACATATTTGCAGCAGCTCTGGATCATGATACTCGAAATGAGAGAGAGAGAGAGAGAGAGAGAGAGAGAGAGAGAGAGAGAGAGAGAGAGTCGAGCAGAACGGGGTTTGATGCAGTCCAGCGGTCTGACTCACCTCAACAGAAAGGTGCTGGGGTGTGGAGGAGGAGGAGGGAGAGGTTTGGGTAAAGTGAAATGAAGGCTAAAAGAAAAAAAAAGAAAAACTAACCGGCAGGTGCAAGAATGATTTCAAAAGTAATTAGAAAACAGCAAATATGGACTTGGTGAAACAGAAGAAAATAAAAAAAAACAACAAAAAATAATAATCAAAGCCACTCAATTTAACCACATATATAACATCGCTTTACAGCAGCTTATAGTTTTGTTTTAATTTTTCACTTTTTATATTGCTTYGTCTTTTTATGCCTGTCTATTTATGTTCATGAAGCAAAGAAAATGTCTAAAAACACAGAAGAAAACAAACCCATATATTACAATGTTGTACAGATATTCAAACAAAGTATGTTGTTGTTTTTTTTTTACAACCAGTCCATTTTTATTACTCTCCATAAAGCAAGCTGCCTTACAAATGCTCATTGTGCAGCAAAAATTGTGATCATTAGTTTAATATCCTGCGTTTTAATTATTTTCTCTCCAACCTCTTAGTAAAATCTCAGAGTCTTCAGCTTTAACAAAAACTCCACAATATTTCCAAGTATGTCCAAACTTTGTCTGCTGGACTTTTTCTGCTGAGATGGTGGGTTATTTTGGCTTCTTTTTTTTTTCTTTTTTTTTTTTTTTTGTACTTAACAGAACTGCCTGCTGGGGTGTAAAATGATGCTATTAGAGCAGCCAGAGCGAACCAAAACAGTAGAGCTGCAGACACACACTGCTAAATAATGACCTAAGACTTATTATAGTGGCCATAAAACTGAAGGCAGCTGCAGCTTTGGGTGTTATTTATCCATGGGGTCATCACGAGGAGGGGTCATTTCACTTTGCTTTCACAATGTGAGTGGATGAGCCTCAGGTGGTGGAGCAGACTGACCTCTAATTGTGAAGGTTTCAGTTCAATCTTTTGGTCTGCCACATACTGAAAATGTCCTTGGGTAAAAAATCGGAACCCTAAGCAGTTCTGCTGTAATTGGTGTGCGAGTGTAAATGAATGAGGCAACTCAATGCAATAACTGTGGAATTGTGAAACCGTATAATAAGTAATAAACAACACATCTGGTACAGTTAATTGTATTTTTATGTTTGATGTAGTTCAAAGAGTTCAAAAAGATATTTAACAGAAATGAGATGTTATAACTCACTAACAGTTAAAACAAACTATTTTTTATCTTAAGTTCTCTTGCTCGATATGTTAAAAGGCAACTCAAAGTCCTTCTCCCCTGATTAGCCTCAGAGCGCTAACATGCAGGCAGATGGAGCAGAGGACCGATGTTCAATTAAAATCAGTGTTCAGCGAGGTTTTGCTGTATCTTGACATGATAATCTTCTTTTTAAATGCACCACAGCACTCTTTGCCCCACCATGGAGCACAGCAGACAGCTCATACATTATCATTGAGTTTCTTTTTCTCTTTCTTTCACCTTCTTTCTCTGTGTCACACCCACTGAC